CCTCCACGTTCTCTTTGGCGTATGCTGGCGTCGCGAACAAACCTCAGTGGTGTTCTATGCTCTTCTCTCTTTGCCGCCAGTTGAGCCCTTTGATATGGTGTCTTACTGTTGAAGCTCTGCAAAGGAGACCATGGTCCACACGGAAAGGCGAGGACCAAAAGATCAGGCTCCACCCGGTCCAGGTAGCTCAGTGCCTCATTGTAGTCCTTTTCCTGGAGAAGATCCCACCTTGGCAGTGTCACTGGCTCATGAAAACCCCATCCACGAGCTGATGCCATGATGGAGATTGCGCAGGTCCATGTGAAGACTTCCAACACCGTCCATTTGGCTTTGTTGGGCGCTCTCGTCACTTCCTTTGCCACTGGTGTCTTTTCCTTCTTAATCTTTTTCTTCTTCTGCTCGACCTCCTTCTCTTCTCCATAGGAGTCTGAGATGCCATTCGCCTGAGCTGCCAATCTCTTCTTCAGGTGCTTGTTCATTGGCCTCTTTTGGCCATACGAGATGAAGGTGTCACTTCCTCTTGCTTCTGCTTCCTTCTCTGCCTCCTCATCATCTTCTGAGCCGCTGGTGACAATCTCAATGCCAACTTCATGTGATGTAGAAGAGTCTTCCGCACTTTCCTCACCACTCTCAGTCACCAATTCTTCTTCTGGCACCGTTTCATCTCCCTGAACTTGGATGCCGAGGTCGTGCTGTAGATGGTGCATCCACTGTGCTTTCTTCTTCTCTCTGTCTTCCAGCTCATCTTCTTCTTGACTCTCCTCATCATCTTCCTCCGACGTCTCCTCCTCCTCATGTTGGGCCACGAATGAAAGGGACTGAGGATGTTCGATCAAGATCTTCTTCTTCTCTTGTGCCTCTTTTGACTCCAGATACTTCAAAGCCTCCTGAACTTCTTCTTGAGTGTACTCGATGAGCTGGATGCCTGGGTGACGGGTCCAGGTCAGCACCATTGGCTTCTTTTCTCCAAAAAGTTCCAACTCCTTCTGGCCAAACCGGAAGACTGCCTGCCACCGGCTCAACTCTGAGGGTCCCACCAAGCCTGGGCATGTTGAAGCATCTTGATCCACCACTGACATCCGAAGCAGATCCCAGTGTCCATGGATGCGGACTGGGTATACACAGGCCTTCTTGCTGACGATCGGATCTCCTGCTCCGAACTTATAAGTCTCCTTTTCTTCCACCTCCAGCCACGGCACACCCATCTCCTTCAGCTTCTCTTGCATGACATTGTGCCATTGAATGCCGCCCACAGAGTTGCGACAGCCTGAGTCTGCGATGGCTAGTCCAGGCACTTTGAGATGTGGCATGGCTCCTTGTCCCATGCCATAGACCTCCACTGTCGTGGCATCTCTATACCAGAACTCTGTGACGATGGTCTGTGCCTTGTCCAGCTGCTTCTCAAAGGGGACCACATTGCCTGTGTAGTCATCTTCACACAAGACCTTGCCGTTCTTGTCTTTGGTGATCCTCCAACAGACTTGTTCTTTCGTTGGCCCTCCTTCGTTCACCATACTCAGGTGCTTCGTCTTCTTGTCTTCTCGGACCCACACCTTGGTGTCATCTGGCACATGATCAGGACGGGTATGATGGATGTTGACCATCAAAACACCGTGTTTGCTGCTCCAGTAGATCACGCTCTTGAGATCGCATAGGCGACACTTGGCATAGTGGCCATCTTGATTTGCTGACCATCTCAACTCATCAAATGGATGCTTGCACAAAGCTTGCCTCTCGGTTGGCACGGGTGCTGCTTGTGATGGCGTCAGACGATCTCCCCTTACTTGCCGGTCATATAGGTCTCGTCTAAAAGTGGCCAGCTTCCGATCTCTTACACTCTTGGGCTCTGATCCATCGGACTTGCCAGGTGGCACTGGTTGCTGTGCAATCGGTCCCTGGGTGCTGCTTGACGATGAGTGAAGATGTGCATATCCGGTTGGAATGCCAAGTGAGTCTGGTTCTCCATGGCCATAGCCAGCCATCAGATGCCTTGGAAGTGGGTTTCCGCCCAAGTCCGCAGTTGGTCCAAGACGAGCCATATCGGGAAGCCCTCCATAACCATACTCTGCCATTGTCCTGCGGTGCAACTCCAACAAGCGTTCAGCCTCCTTCTCCTCATCTTTCACCAATGCCTTCTGCAAGTCTTTCTTCTCCTGTCGTGTCATGCTGGGCAATGCAGCCATCACTTCTTTTGACTGCAGCTTCATCGTGCCAGGATGAGAACGTCCACCTTCCATAGATGCTGCTGCTCTTGCTGCATCCTTCGTCACCTCAAAAGTGAACTCTGGCTTTGCTTCCTTTGTCTTGTCCACCAAGTCCCAAACATCTTCCTCTTCTTCCTTTGTTCTCTTCCTTGCTGACATGGTCACATTCACCTCCTGTGCCATGCCACACTGACCACAGAACCTCTGGCCCGTTGGAACCGGCCATCGGCATTTGGGACATTGGTCTGGCCTGCATCACCTCCTCCAGTTATGAAAGTGAGGTGGACTGTCTGCGCTGGCTTCTTGTTGCCCGGAACATGTGGCTGATCCCGGCCGTTGATGACATTGGGACAGCAACTGTCTCCTCGCCAGTGGCCTTGTTTGCCACATGATGAACAGGTGCTCAACCTCTTCTTTGCCTCCAAGCTCTTGCCATTCTTGCTGACGTCCTGACCTGTTCCGGTCTTCGTCATTGGCTTCCATCCTCTATTCTTTCGAACCTCAGCTGTTTTCTGTTTGGCCTTCCAGCCGGCTGCAAAGATCTCTTTCAGATCTTCTTCATCGAGCTCGCCATCATCTTCTTCTCCTTCATCCTCTTGATCAGGTTCTTCTTCCTGACCAGGATCTTCCTCCTCAAAGAGCGTCTCCATGAAGTCCATCTCTTCTTCATTCTCCTCCTCTTCAGGGAATTCCTCTTCTTCCAGGCCATCGGCCACATGTGCATGATGCGCCTTCTTCACGATGATCTTCTTCTTGAAATAGTGCCCTTTCGGCTTCATCTTTCCTCCTCCCTTGTCCTCATAGCTCTTGTAGGTGCCCTTCTTTTCCTCTTCATGGATCCTCCCACATCGCAACCGTAAGGCCTTCTCAATGGATTGAGGATCAAAGCATGCACCTGCTGAGTAGTAGACATCATGTTTCTCTCTTCTGGACAGGGAGGCACGCTGAAGGAGACGTTGACCCCATGCTCGGTCACTCATCTTGCTATCTGGGTCAACACGTGCCAACTGGGCTCTGAGCCTCCGCATCTCCGCCAGGTAGTGGGCAACTGTTTCTCCTGGCTGCCGTCGGCATTGCTGGAACTCTTTGTCCGCTCTTTCAAAAAGCTCAGCCTCTGACTCTCCGAAGGATTCGTCCAGCACGCGCCATAGGAGATGGATTCCACCAGCTTCGGTGTAGCAGGAGATTGGATACTGTTCCACAACATCTCTGGCCTCCTTCTTTGTTGAGAGGTAGACCAACATGGCCAGCTCATTGCCTTCGAGATTGTATAGATGTTGCTGGGCTTGAATCGTTCTCTTCCATTTCAAGCATCTACCTCTGTCTCCATAGAAGTCTTCAATGCGAACGGAACCCAGCGAAGGCTTTGGTCTGTAGTTGTCATCCTGCTTCATTCGTCTCCTCAACATTGACTTGATCTCTGAGGTGGCTGCCGTTGAGGATCTCTGCGAACTTCCTTCATCCTCATCATCTGGTCCATCTGGATCCGATGGATCTGGCTCACTTGCCGATTGGGTCTTCTTTCTCTTATCGTTCACATTCTTCTCCTTCTTCGTGGGCTTCGGCTTCATCTCATCGGTTGAATTCTGACTCTGTGGAGGCGGAACTGACGGTTTTGACCATGAATCCGCTCCAGATCCGTCTTGTGTCATCATGCCTTGCCATGGGCCATACATCATCCAGGACTGAGGTGGTGCACTGCTCACATATGCACCAGGCATGCCGCTTGGAAACATGCCTCCCATCTGAGGATGTGGTACACAAGGAGGATGTGATACACAAGGACCATGTGGTACACAAGGACTGTGTGGTACACAAGAACCAAATGGAAGACATGGACCAGGTGGTACACATGAATGGGGTGGTACTCCATGTGCTGAGAACTGCTGCATGCCAGGTGGCGAGAAACCCGGTGGTAGTCCGCACCCTCCATGACACGGTGGTGCAAAGCTCACAGGCATGCCACAAGGAACATTCATGCTCTCAAACGAATTGACGATCGTCGACGGCTGTCTCGGGGGAGTTGATGGTGGCGTCAACTGAGTCTCATTCTCCACAGGCTGTGGAAGTGTCGGGGCTATTGGCTCATCCCCTCTTCCTTTCTTCTTCCCCCCTTTTCCTTTTCCCTTCCGAAGAGCACGATCTACGGCCGAGTCCAGCGAGGCAGAACCCTTTTCTGTCTCCCCCGAAGTCGTCCCATCGTGTCCTCCAGTCGGATGTCCTTCACCTCGCCAAGGGTCTGCCATGACCTACGGATCCTCCGGCGGCCAAGGCACCGCCGCAGCTGCCCACGCGGCTGCGTCCACCGCAGTCGATCCGTCAGCAGCTGATGGCGCTGGATGCGATCCCATGGCATCCGCCACGGGGCACGAGGGAAGCAGGTCGCAGCCTATGAAATTCCCCTCAAGCTCCGCTACCAATGTGGTGGAGGGAGCCACCCTCCAAAACCAAGATGAACAGGGGGTCAACACCAAACCAATGGCTCACCCTAAAGCACAAGCAAAGCGCAGCAAGCAAAAGCGAAATGTGAAAATGTTTTTCACGCGGGGCTGACATCGATGCCTTGAGAGAATAGGCCAAGGAAGCGACATAGTGAACGATCGCACCGAAGGAAATGCGAACAACGCGAAAGACTGAAACAAATCACCATGAACTGCCACCTAATTTCTCACAGTTCTCACCGAAGCTTGATGATGAACCAACAATCATCAACCAGAGGTGGTAGTGTCCTGTCCCAGCTGATCAGATGCCACCTCTCGGGTGAGCTCCGGGAATCCCGCAGACAGCAGAGACCAGGTAGAGCGTCCGGAGACCACCTGGGTAGACACCCGCGTGCGTGTGGTGTGGGGGCGCCACAGAAGAGCTGGGATATGGCCAACTGGACTTGAGTCGAGTATTTTCCTGGCAGATGTGACACTGAGAAAGTCCAGTTTCCACTATTTTGATCAGCCAGACTTACATGGGTTTGTCACAAAAGTAGGCGGGCACATTCTTTGGAGGAAAAGTACATGAACACCCATCAGTTGACGGCCCCAGATAGAAGGACAGCTACACAACGGCCGGTTAGCCCGCTTCCCAACCCTAGAACTTTGGTGAGCTGCTTCCATATTTCGAGCCCCTAACTCGTGCAATCGAATTTTGATAGACTCATAGATCCTTGCTAGCCTGATTCAGAGGGAGAAAAAAGGGGATATTCAGATTCCGCTTTGAACTGGCAAATGTCAATGTTTTTGGTTGTACGCTTCAACTTCTATCAGAGAAGGATGGATTTGAAGCCCTTGCCTCGTTGCCTCGAAGGTCAGACTCTTTCCGTGGCCTTATTGATGCTTGGCGCTTCTTCCCCCAGCAGGAGCGTGCGAGTGCGGTGTGTGGCAAGGGTTCGGGAGCCCATGTGCTGTAGGAGGGTACTGTTCTAGAGATTAGATTTCAGCAGCCTCACCGATTAGGTAGCAACCCGACCTTCACGAATATTTCTATCGGGTGTGTAGCTGATGGTAGTCAGGGACTTCGTTTGCTTGGTTTTCTTCCTGCTTGTGGGAGGTTTGTAGGTATTGGATTAAAGTGCTTCTACACGAATCACAAAGAAAGAGTTCGGACATGGCCATACTGTCCAAACAACATGCAGCCGCCAGGAAGGGCTGCAGCCAGCGCTGAGAGCTCAGAATTTGAGATAGACTCAGACTGCTCTGGATGGGAAACTGCTGAGGGAGCCTAGGCCGATCGAAGACTGTACGAGGAACGTACAGGGGACAGGCCAGTTGCTAGTTGTTCAAGTGGGGAGAGATCAATTCATGTAGAGCTACTGTGCTCTTCTGCTCAAGTGGATCTTCCAGGCTTGACATCGTAAATTGTCCGACGCCCAGCTGGTCCTGGATCCTCTGGCTCAAGGCAATTTGTGTGTTTGCATTGGAGTGACTAGACTATAAACTACCAAAAACACCGGATGGTGAGCATACCCTCGTTGTAGTTGTATTTTATCAATGTTTTCCGTTTGTTTCCGTTCATTTATAAATTATATAGCATCCATGGTAGAGTTCAACCTCAAGTCACACTCTGGCGCTTTCATCCATCCTCCATCCACCCACCCAACTGCAGACTGAAAAAGACCAGCCCAGCAATTCTCAAGAACACTCGATTTGCTCACCCACATTACATTATCCACTGATGTCGAGACATTTGTCTATGTCTGATGGCTTTGATGATGCAATTCCATTCAAGAAACGTAGCAACGAACATAAATACTGGCATGTTAAGTTTCCGTAAAATCTAGGTACTAGGAACCAAATCATTAGCGCGTGAGCTATTCTGCGTCCGGTGCGAACTAGTAACTAGCTTCTGCCCCTACTTAATTAAGTAGGCGTCTACTCAATTATAAGTAGAGAGGCGGGGCCTCGGCAAAAAAGATTCTTCATTTTTGTTTGACTTCTTTCATGACGCACTTCCACGTGGTGGGCGATGCCTTGGTGGACCTCGTGGCATCCGGCTTGGCTGCGTTGCCGGAGCCTGACGGTGATGCCACCGCCCAGAAAATGGCGCTCCGTGCAGGTCAGGGCAGGGCGAAAGGGCAAGTTGAGAGGACGCTTTCTTCATTTATTTTAAATTTATTAGCGATGGCCTCCAACCTACTTGCGACTGCCTCGAACCTACTAGCGATGGCCTCCAACCTACTTGCGACTGCCTCCAACCTACTAGCGATGGCCTCCAACCTATGCGACTGCCTCCAACCTCCATGCGACTGCCTCGAACCTACTAGCGATGGCCTCCAACCTACTTGCGA